GTGGGTGGCGGGATATATGTGTGTGTGCGCGCGAGGCGCTTGTGTGGGCATGTCTGTGTGTGAAGGTTGTAGGGGGCAAGTGTGTGTGCACGCGCGAGAGAGAGAGACAGAGTGTTAGGGTCCCTGTGTGCATGAGAGAGAGTTTGGCGGTGTGCGTGAGAGTGAGTTGAGGGGCTCTGTGTGTGTGTGTGTATGTGTGGGTGAGCGAGAGATTTGGGGACGTGTGAGAGAGAGAGTTGGCTATGTACGTGAATGTGAGAGTTGACGAGTGAGAGTTGAGATTGAGAGTATAAATGATGCTGTGTTTCTGTGTTCGTGTGACCATGTTTGTAACTCTACCTGTACCTGTGTGAATGTTACTCTGCAAACACCCAAGTTTGAGACCAGTCTTAGTTTTGTTGCTCTCAGTCAAATCCTCTGCCTGCTGAGGATCACATATCGCTAAAGTTCACCTGGACTTAATGTTGACATTCTACCAGTGCTGAACTCTTTCAGTAACAGAAGGTGCTGGGGATGAGGATTGTTGGTGAATTACAGGTTGCTTGGTAAGTGACATGCCATTTACTCTGGCTGCTGATACCAGTCAATAAATGTGAAAGCTGTAAGGGCCTGTCAGTCCATGTTGACTGTTCCTAGTGCTGCTGATGGGTTAATGTGGTGTCTTACTGCCCCCTCCTGGTACTGTAACACTGAAGTAAGTGCTCCGTGTTCCTTTTCAGACTGGAGAAGGAGCGGGGTGATGGAGCCTGGTGTCCAGTCGACCTCCTGTACCCTGACAGTGTGGAGTACCTGCAGATTGACCTTCATGCCCTCACCTTTATTACGCTGCTTGGCACACAGGGGCGTCACGCTTATGGGAGCGGCAATGAGTTTGCCCGTGCTTACCAACTGGATTACAGCCGGGATGGGAGACGCTGGATAACCTGGAAGGATCGCCAGGGGAAACAGGTGAAGAAAGCACCGCCCACCTGCTTCCTCATGGAGTCTCAAACTCGCTGATAAGGCACATGGGCACCATTGGCTGGGCCAGCATTTATTACCTGTGATAACAAGGTGTAGAGCTGGATGAACACAGCAGGCCAAGCAGCACCAGAGGAGCAGGAAAGCTGACGTTTCGGGTCTAGACCCTTCTTCAGAAATGGGGGAGGAGAAGGGGATTCTGAAATAAATAGGGAGAGAGGGGGAGGTGGATAGAAGATAGGTGGAGAGGA